ACTGTAATCTCTAAACATAAATTGTGAAGATTTCACGGACATTTATTAGTTCCCCAAATTAATGCTTTTATAATTTCTTACACCTGTCTTTACTGTAATCTCTAAACATAAATTGTGAAGATTTCACGGACATTTATTAGTTCCCCAAATTAATGCTTTTATAATTTCTTACACCTGTCTTTACTGTAATCTCTAAACATAAATTGTGAAGATTTCACGGACATTTATTAGTTCCCCAAATTAATGCTTTTATAATTTCTTACACCTGTCTTTACTGTAATCTCTAAACATAAATTGTGAAGATTTCACGGACATTTATTAGTTCCCCAAATTAATGCTTTTATAATTTCTTACACCTGTCTTTACTGTAATCTCTAAACATAAATTGTGAAGATTTCACGGACATTTATTAGTTCCCCAAATTAATGCTTTTATAATTTCTTACACCTGTCTTTACTGTAATCTCTAAACATAAATTGTGAAGATTTCACGGACATTTATTAGTTCCCCAAATTAATGCTTTTATAATTTCTTACACCTGTCTTTACTGTAATCTCTAAACATAAATTGTGAAGATTTCACGGACATTTATTAGTTCCCCAAATTAATGCTTTTATAATTTCTTACACCTGTCTTTACTGTAATCTCTAAACATAAATTGTGAAGATTTCACGGACATTTATTAGTTCCCCAAATTAATGCTTTTATAATTTCTTACACCTGTCTTTACTGTAATCTCTAAACATAAATTGTGAAGATTTCACGGACATTTATTAGTTCCCCAAATTAATGCTTTTATAATTTCTTACACCTGTCTTTACTGTAATCTCTAAACATAAATTGTGAAGATTTCACGGACATTTATTAGTTCCCCAAATTAATGCTTTTATAATTTCTTACACCTGTCTTTACTGTAATCTCTAAACATAAATTGTGAAGATTTCACGGACATTTATTAGTTCCCCAAATTAATGCTTTTATAATTTCTTACACCTGTCTTTACTGTAATCTCTAAACATAAATTGTGAAGATTTCACGGACATTTATTAGTTCCCCAAATTAATGCTTTTATAATTTCTTACACCTGTCTTTACTGTAATCTCTAAACATAAATTGTGAAGATTTCACGGACATTTATTAGTTCCCCAAATTAATGCTTTTATAATTTCTTACACCTGTCTTTACTGTAATCTCTAAACATAAATTGTGAAGATTTCACGGACATTTATTAGTTCCCCAAATTAATGCTTTTATAATTTCTTACACCTGTCTTTACTGTAATCTCTAAACATAAATTGTGAAGATTTCACGGACATTTATTAGTTCCCCAAATTAATGCTTTTATAATTTCTTACACCTGTCTTTACTGTAATCTCTAAACATAAATTGTGAAGATTTCACGGACATTTATTAGTTCCCCAAATTAATGCTTTTATAATTTCTTACACCTGTCTTTACTGTAATCTCTAAACATAAATTGTGAAGATTTCACGGACATTTATTAGTTCCCCAAATTAATGCTTTTATAATTTCTTACACCTGTCTTTACTGTAATCTCTAAACATAAATTGTGAAGATTTCACGGACATTTATTAGTTCCCCAAATTAATGCTTTTATAATTTCTTACACCTGTCTTTACTGTAATCTCTAAACATAAATTGTGAAGATTTCACGGACATTTATTAGTTCCCCAAATTAATGCTTTTATAATTTCTTACACCTGTCTTTACTGTAATCTCTAAACATAAATTGTGAAGATTTCACGGACATTTATTAGTTCCCCAAATTAATGCTTTTATAATTTCTTACACCTGTCTTTACTGTAATCTCTAAACATAAATTGTGAAGATTTCACGGACATTTATTAGTTCCCCAAATTAATGCTTTTATAATTTCTTACACCTGTCTTTACTGTAATCTCTAAACATAAATTGTGAAGATTTCACGGACATTTATTAGTTCCCCAAATTAATGCTTTTATAATTTCTTACACCTGTCTTTACTGTAATCTCTAAACATAAATTGTGAAGATTTCACGGACATTTATTAGTTCCCCAAATTAATGCTTTTATAATTTCTTACACCTGTCTTTACTGTAATCTCTAAACATAAATTGTGAAGATTTCACGGACATTTATTAGTTCCCCAAATTAATGCTTTTATAATTTCTTACACCTGTCTTTACTGTAATCTCTAAACATAAATTGTGAAGATTTCACGGACATTTATTAGTTCCCCAAATTAATGCTTTTATAATTTCTTACACCTGTCTTTACTGTAATCTCTAAACATAAATTGTGAAGATTTCACGGACATTTATTAGTTCCCCAAATTAATGCTTTTATAATTTCTTACACCTGTCTTTACTGTAATCTCTAAACATAAATTGTGAAGATTTCACGGACATTTATTAGTTCCCCAAATTAATGCTTTTATAATTTCTTACACCTGTCTTTACTGTAATCTCTAAACATAAATTGTGAAGATTTCACGGACATTTATTAGTTCCCCAAATTAATGCTTTTATAATTTCTTACACCTGTCTTTACTGTAATCTCTAAACATAAATTGTGAAGATTTCACGGACATTTATTAGTTCCCCAAATTAATGCTTTTATAATTTCTTACACCTGTCTTTACTGTAATCTCTAAACATAAATTGTGAAGATTTCATGGACACTTATCACTTCCCCAATCAATACCCTTGTGTTTTCCAATTCCTGTCTTCACTTTAATCTCTTAATCCGGTCATCTTCTTCATAAGCTGAGGAGGATGAATGTCACCTCAGGACCCTGGGATTGTATCAACTGCACAAATTGTTTGTAGAGCATGTGTGTTTGAACAATATGTAATCTGGGCATCTTAAAAAAAAAAAAGAACAGGATAACAGTGAGATTCAGGGAGCGAGAGAGGTAACTTTGAACTGGCTGCCGGAGAGCCAGACGGAACAGAGCTATATTTCTCCTCTTTCATAAGCAAATAGGAGAAATATTGCTGAATTCTTTTTCTCAGCAAGGAACATCCCTGAGAAAGAGAATGCGCCCTGAAGGTAGGCTTATAGATGACCCCTTTTAAGGCGTCCCACCTTTTGTGGTTGAAGCTGAAGGGATGAAACAAGCCCCAGTCTCCTATAGTGCTCCCAGGCTTATTAGGTGGAGGAAAATTCCCGCCTAATAAATTGTGGTCAGACGGGTTACCTGCTCTCAAACCCTGTTTCCTGATAAGATGTTATCAATGACAATGTGTGCCCGAAACTTCATTAGCAATTTTAATTTCATTTCATCCGGTGGTCCTGTGATCTTGCCTTGCCTCCATTTGCCTTGTGATATTTTATTACCTTGTGAAGTATGTGATCTCTGTGACCCACACCCTATTTGTGCACTCCCTCCCCTTTTGAAAATCGCTAATAAAAACTTGCTGGTTTATGGCTCAGGGAACATCACGAATCCGGCCAACATGTGATGTCTCCCCCGGACACCCAGCTTTAAATTTCTCTCTCTTGTGCTCTTTCCCTTTATTTCCCAACCCAGCCGAGACACTTAGGAAATAAAAAGAACCCACATTAAACATTGGGAGCAGGTTCTCCCGATACACATGGACTAATGGGCACATCTGACACCATTGCTGAGCCTCCGACCTTTGGAGCTAAAGTGTTAGAAGGATCAGGGAGCTGCCCAAAGGAGTATAAAGTCTCCTAGCAAGTGGAGGCACCAGAAATATGTAATATCTCTCTCCCTGCCTGAGCATGGCCTCTGCCTTTCTGGATGTAGATGGGGCCCTGATGCATCTGGGGGTGTTTGAAGGACTTTGTGTCTGCCCATAGCAATCAGGTTGACACAAAACCAACCCTCTCCCTTGCACGTGTTAGTAGTCCCTGCATCAGCAAGTATGAAGCGGCCACTCCAGCAAAAATCCAGCCTGTCATCTCCTAGCCCAGCCCACAGGCATTCATAACAAGGCTTTGCTCAGCAGGCCTCATGGACATTGCCACCACCCCACCACCACCACACCTGACTGGTGCACAGGCAGGACACTGCAGTGCTCTGGAGGGAATTGCAGTCAAGCAGGCCAGACATGGACAGTCAGGGACAGTCACGAAACTGCACTCCCAGCCTTGTGTTTCCAGTCTGATGCCTCCTTATTGGTCCTCGGCAGAAGACCCTCCCTTCCCAGCATGAGCCTTTGCTTCTGGGCTCCTTCCAGTGAGACCATCCCTCCACCAATGCCTATATGTGCTGTATCCACCTCACCCTCACCTAAACCTTTCAGTAGGGGAAAGGCAGAACCCTGGAGAGCCAGCATGCTATAGTTTGGATGCTTGTCCCCTCCAAGACTCATGTTGGGATTGGATCCCCAAGTATACAGGTGAGGCCTTATGTCCCACGTCTGGGTCATAGAGGCCAACACTTCATGAATCACTTAGTGACCTCCCTGGTCAGGGATGAGTTCTTCTCTTAGTTCCTAGCAAGAGCTGGTGGTTGAAAAGAGTCTGGGCCCTCCCTCTTGCTCTCTCTTGCTTCCTCCCTCACCATGTGACCTCTGCCCAAGCCAGCTCCCCATCCCCTTCTGCCAGGCGTACAAGCAGCCTGAGGCTCGCAGCAGAAGCTGAGCAGATGCCTGCACCATGCTCCTATGTAGCCTGCAAAGCCATGACTCAAATCAACGTCTATCTTCATGAACAACCTGGCCCCAGCTATTCCTTTCCAGCCACACTAAAAGGCAAAGACCTGGTGCTTTTGTCTTCTCCCTCTGCTTGTGCTGCTTCGGTGAACAAAGGTGTGACCCTTATTTCACTTTGGCCCATTGTCCTCTCTGACCTCCTCAAAACCTGGCAATGTGGCAAGGACTCATGCAGTTTTCTAGGAGAGAGCTAAGGAGATATCAGAAATACAGGAAAGGTTGAAAAAGCTCTGAGTGAGGAGATTGGAACATATTAAGACTTTGCTTCCTGAGCAAAATCTACCCCAAGAGAGGAGACCCAAAGTCTTGGAGACCCACCTGAGCAGATGACACCAGCGTCTTCCTGATGGCCACAGTTGTGGGAGAGCCAGCCTCTGTGGGGACAGTTCCACAGGTAGGACTCGTGCCCTGAGCAGCTCACGTCATCCAGGACAATGGGTCCTGAGCCCTGGCCAAACCGGGCATTTCCTGGGGCTGATGTGGCCCAGCCACAGCCCAGCTGCCTGCAGACCACAT